TAGCCCCTCAGTGATTTTTTTTTCTTTTTTAAAATATTTTCCCAAATGATGTTTAACAGAGCAAAGAAACTTTCACAGTGTGTCTGATAATATTTTTTCTTCTGGAGAAAGTCTTATTCATTTTATTTCGGCTAGAATAAAAGTAGTTATTAATTCTTTAAACACCATTTTAAAGTCAATATTATTAGCCCCTTTAAGCAATGTATTTTTTCCTTATAGTCCACAGAGCAAACCATTATTATACATTGACTTGCCTAATTACCCTAACCTGCCTATTTAACCTAATTAACCTAGTTAAGCCTTTAAATGTCACTTTAAGCTGAATAGAAGCGTCTTGAAGAATATCTAGTCAAATATTATTTACAGTCATCATGACTAAGATAAAATAAATCAGTTATTAGATGACTTATCAAAACTATTATGATTAGAAATGTGTTGAATAAATCTTCTCTGTTAAACAGAAATTGGGGAAGATTTCTTTTTTTACATTTATATATATTTTTATTTTGCATAAATATATTTTTAAGTTATTTTAAAGTAAACATAATTTCTAACGACATTTTGTGTGTGATTTAATCCCCCGCAGTAAGAATATTAGACGTACCTTTGATGGGAAAGGATTTTTCTTCACACACGAGAAAAGTACAAAAGTTTTCCCAACAACAACAACAAAAAATATATTTCCCTCAACGACAGCAATCCAGTGTGTTCGAATAACTTGTAGCTCCCAAGATGCTTCTCCAACTCTCAGAGCGAAAACTTGACTTTGGAAAAAACATACAAAAAGTGTTGATCCGACTGAAGAGCCACGAGGTCTTTCATCTCACTGATGTTGTGTGTCTATAAAAACCTGAACCTCTAATAGGTATGATGTAAGAAAAAAAAATAGCCCGGGAGCATTGTATGTTAATACCATGACACCTCGTCCTGCTTTATGTGAATGAGAGAAAGAGAGAGGGTGGAGGACAGACTGAAAACCAGCCCTTCACAGCAGCTCTGGTTTCAGCTGCGCTTCATCCTCAACACTCACATACACATCCCTGTTTCAATCCTGCACATAAAACCTATCTATATTAAAGATATTTGATATATGCTTGGGCCGGCGCGGTGGTTCAGTGGGTAGCACTGTAGCCTCACAGCAAGAAGGTTGCTGGTTTGAGTCACTGCTGAGTAAGTTGCCATTACTGTGTGGAGTTTGCATGTTCTCTAGTGTTGGTTTCCTCCGGGTGCTATGTGCTACAGGGGAATTGGGTAAGCTAAGTTGTCCGTAGTGTATGTGTGTGTAAGAATAGGAGTCTATGAGTGTTTCCCTGTGATGGGTTTGCAGCTGGAAGGGCATCTGCTGTGTAAAACATATGCTGGATAAGTTGGCGGTTCATACTGCTGTGGCGATCCCAGATTAATAAAAGGACAAAGCCGAAAAGAAAATGAATGAATGATACTGAATTTAATTGAATTAAATTAAATTAAATTAAATTAATGGGAATTAAATGCAACGAAACAAAAAATAATGAACTGGAATGTGAACTAATTAAAATATTTCTTTCCCAGAAGAAAAAAGAAATACTGTCAAAAGTTTCATTTCCATTCTGTTCCATTAAATTCTGTTCAATTTAATTCTATTCCTTTCTGTTTCATGTCATTCCTGTCTGTTTCATTCCATTCAATTTAATTCCATTCCTTTTAGTTTCATTCTATTCTATTCTATTCCACAATTTTTTCCCATTCAATTCTAATCAATTTAATTCAATTCAATTCCATTCCATTTCATTTCTTTTTGTTTCATTACATTCAAATTATTCCATTCTATTTCTTTCGGTTTCATTCTATTCAGTTCTATTAAATTCATTTTTTTTCCATTCAATTCTATACTATTCAATTTAAGTCCTTTTCATTCCATTTAGTTCCTTTGTTTCATTGCATTCAATTTAACTCAATTTAATTCATTTCATTCCATTCATTCTGTTCAATTTAGTTAAATTCATTTCCATTTAATTAAATTATTTTCTTTTCGATTTGATTCATTTCTGTTTTATTTCCTTCAATAATGAAAATTTTAGTAATTTCATTCTAATAATATTGTTTAAAATAAATGCCTGCTTTTTTTCCAGCCAAAATAAAAAAATATTTGCTTTCCAAAAGAAAAAGAAAAAAGGAAATGCTGTGAAAAATTTGCATTCCATTCAATTGAATTATATTCCATTCCTTTCTGTTTCATTCTATTCAATTTAATTCCATTCTATTTCTTACAGTTTCATTCTATTCTGTTCAATTCCATTAAATTCTTTTTTTTCATTCAATTTTATTCAATTAAATTCCTCTTCATTCCATTTAATTCCTTTGTTTCATTAATTTCCATTCAATTCAGTTCAATTTTATTAAATTAAATTATTTTCCTTTCCATTTGATTCCTTTGTTTCATTCCATTTAATTTAGTTTAATAAAAAATATTGTCCTTAAAACTGATTAAAGGAAATAAATTTGTTATTTTATTTAAGCCAAACTAAAATAAATAATTTCTTTCCCAGAAAATAAAAAAAGTTAAAGCAAATACCGTGAAAATTCCCCTGCTCCACTAAACATCACTTGGTAAATATTTGAAAAATGTTAATGTTGAATAATTTTTGCTTCAGCTGTTTATAGTGTGCTGATATGGCCATCCATCAGATATAGTGATGACATTTGAAATGTTTCTCAGCAGGTTAAATGTTGTGGAGCTCAGACTGCAGCAGAGGCTGGTGCTGCTGGATCAATAGTGCTCGGCTGCTACACAAGTTCAACTCAATGGCTTTGATCGGCTGAGGTTTGGACACTTTCCACAATCACTATAGAGCCCCTGTGTTCCTGAAGGGCTTTACCCCAACCAACCTTTGACCCACTGTCATTTCAGTCGCTCCACTTAATATTTGAACTCAAGATTTTTCAGTTTTTCAAGATTGTTACATTCCTTAACATTCAATTCTTTTCTGTTCCATTCCATTTTATTCAATTCCATTCCGTTCCTCTCTGCTCATTCCATACAATTTTATTTTATTCAGCTGGATTCCATTCC